ACTGAACTACCTGTATATGCAGCAGCATGGTGAATTTCACGAGTATTACGCCATGGAAAAGGGTTGCCAGGGCTGGAGATGGAGGGAGGGGGGTGACTGTGGAGAAAGAGGCACAAGACAGTTCGTGGCAGGTGCGAGGAAAATGGCTTTTATCTTTGTGGCAGTGGTTACATGACTATGTATCTATACTTGTCAAAAATCATGGAACTGTATACTTTAAAAAGGTGAGTTATACTTCAGTCAATTTGACTTTAAAACACACATGCAGGAGAGGATTCTCAATTTTCCTCCTCAGACAAAAATACACATTAAAGTAGATGACCTGTTTTTCTTTAACCTGTCAGAGTGACTAAGATCAAATTGTTTGATTCTTCATTGTTGTCAAGGATTTGAGGAGGGAGTCACACTCATTCTTAAATGTAATGGTAAAACCTCTGAGAGGTCGTTGAACAGTATCTTTCAAAATTAAAAATGCACTTTCTTTTTGACTCAGAAATTCCACTTAGAGGAATTTTTTCTGTAGGTAAGATAATCTACAAAGGAACAATGGTTTATATCATTGTTTACCATAGCAAAAACTAGGGAACAACCTGAATCTCTTTGAATGGGGACGTTAAGTATGGTACAGTGAAGTACTGTGAGTTAGATACATTTGTCTACTAATAGGAAACTATTTCTTAAGATATTATGAAATGAAAATAGTAGTGCACAGAATGGCATCTGGAGTGTGCTTCCATTTGTGGTTTTAGAAAGCTGTAGAAAGTCACTTAACTGCCTGTTCGTGTACACACTGTTAGAGGTCGCATACACATGCACAAAACTGTTATCTTGTTTTTAATTAATTAATTAATTTTAATTGGAAGATAATTTCTTTATAATATTGTGCTTTTTTTTTTGCTGTACATCGACATGAATCACCCATGGGTGCACATGTATCCCCCCAACCTGAACCCCCCTCCCATCTCCCTCCCCATCCCATCCCTCTTGGTTGTCCCAGAGCACCGACTTTGGACTTGGAGTGCCCTGCTTCATGCATTGAAGTTTCACTGGTCATCTATTTTACATATGGTCATATACATGTTTCAGTGCTGTTCTCTCAAATCATCCCACCTTCGCCTTCTCTCACAGAGTCCAAAAGTCTGTTCTTTACATCTGTGTCTCTTTTGCTGTCTTGCATGCAGGACTGTCATCACCCTATCTAAATTCCATATATGTGTGTTGATATGCGGTATTGGTGGCACACTGTTGCTGAGCCACCGCTAGCAAGGAAGGCTTTACTTCTGACATACGCGTGTTTCTTTTGTGCGATTCTTTTTTTACCCCGTGCATGTACTTCCTTCACAGTTAAAGAGAAAATATTTTAATATGCATACATTATAATGTAGCGTTAGGAGGTTAGGGGTGTACTGGTGACTTTCTAATCCCCTCACCCAGAAGATCCCTAGAGACTTTGTCAACAGCACAACAGTGGATCACTGGATCTTCTGTGATCCAGTGTGACATTTCTAAGACCATGTCCCCCTTGTAACCATCACTTCCAGCCCATATCTCCTGTTTTTCTGAATTCATGCAGGGAGTAGGTTGAGGAGGAAATGCACTTGCTTCACTCTACCTATGATGCCTTTCTGTACATTGGACTGTTCCTCTAGCTTAGGTCAGTGTTACTAAGGCCACAACCATCAAGTGACCTGGTGGGAGGAATTGTACTGAGTTATGAAGGAAATTGTCAATTATGTCTCTGTATCATATGCAGGTGCTGCCAGAAAGCTTCTGTAAGTGAGGGGAACTTTGGTAGGGAGGGGTGTCAGTTGGCAGTACTTTCTGAAAATAGGGTCGTTTGGGAGGCTGTATTCAATTTAGTTTGGAGATTAAATAAATTAAAATGAACATACTCAAGTTATGAACTTTGCCTCATCAGTGCTATAAAAAGCCCTTTAGCCTGGCTGTAATTTGACTCTCCTCTCTGTAATGTTACACAATATTCCTATGGTTACAGAGGCCGAATAAGTGGAAGCTAATCATTAGTTTGCTAAATGTGGTTCATGGAACAGTTCACAACTCCCAGACCTGCCAACTGCTGCTTATTTAGTGTCATGTTCACTCTTCTTGGGTAGAAGTTGGTTTGTTCCTCAGAAAAATGTACAGTAACATTTGTCTTGCATCCAGGAGCCATGCACTGTGGCAACTTTCCACATGTCTTGGGGATGGGGAGGGAGGAAGGTCATGGTAAGTGAAGTTGTTTGGTACCTACACTCCCACAGGAAGAAACAAACCATTAAACCATGTGAGATGGCAAAGCCAGAAAAGAATTAGTGTTATGCCATTCGGAGCCAAACACTTACTGAACCAGGGCCCTGTCAGGAGAACACACTGAGAGCAGTAGATACCAACTGGATTTGTGCCCTTACTTGGGGATTAGGGCCTAAATCCTTAAGCCACTCATGATTTCTGACCTCTTCTTACTAGGATGAAAGTAAATGGAAAATGTGTCATGCCCACCTGTGGACTCATTTTCAGCTGCAAGGCTGTGGGCCCTGCAGGAGGCTCCTCTTTCTTCTGAGACTGTCCAGAAAGAGAGAGTCTGGTTGCTGTCTCCATTTACCTGCTACAACATTTAGACCTCTTTGGATTATGAAGAACAGAGAACCTGACCTTAACTGGCTTAAGCAAAAAGGGACTTTTTTTGGCTTATTTGATTTAAAAGGCATGGTGATCTACAGGGCCTCAAACCATGTCATCCGGACTCTCAACCTCTCCCTGTGGCTTTGTCTGTCAGACTGTACTCTCAGGCTCCATGTGGTGGCATCCAGAGTGGCAGTATCGCCCCCCAGGTGCTCAGCAAGTGCCTTCTTTCCTAGGGAAGTCCTGGACTTCATGCTGACTGGCCTGGCTTAGGTCTTGGGCCGAACCAGTCCCGGGGTTCAGAGACATCTCATCCTCCCCACCCCAACCTGGAAGAGTGGGGCCTCACCTGAGCACGGGGAGTAGGTGTTTCTCACCTACTCCCAGGGTAGCAGGGTAGCAGCCCAGCTGAAAATGAATTGAACCGCTGTGCAGAAAGAAATGGGAATGGGAGCTGGGAGGCAAATTGCTAGAAGTTGGATTGTCCATTCAATGCATTGAGAGACTCTGCTTCTGACTTCTTGCCAGCGAGAATCCAGGTTTCTGCTGGTTTATGAAACAGTTCATGTTTCCCAACCTCTGCTTCTCCTCTTGCCTGCCTGTGTGCTGCTCAGAGAGACTACAAGAATTATCTCTTCTTTTACAGTATACATTTATCTGAAATACACACATTTGTTTGGAAGTATACACAGAGGAAATGAAGAAATGATCAGGAGTTGATATAATTATGGTGGGTTTTTTTGTTTTTTGTTTTTTTTTGCACATCTTAGTTTAGGGCAATTTAAAATATATAAGTAATGGAATCAAGTCATAGTTTAAAAAAAATAAAAAACACAATTCTACTCTCCAACCAACCACTCTTTTCTTTTTAAAATATTTCCTTTCAGCTTTCATTCATTTGAGTTTCTCACAAAACCTTAAATCTTTTTTTTTTTTTTGCTTGACACTACATGATAATTCAGGCATTTTCCATTTTGCTATATAGTTATCATTTTCATGTAAATGCAGCATGCTATTCCATCAGGAATATACCATGATTAATCATTCTATAATTGGTTGTTTAGGTTGTTCTTTTAAAATGTATTAGTACAGCCACTATGGAAAACAGTGTGGAGATTTCTTAAAAAGCTGGAAATAGAACTGCCATATGACCCAGCAATCCCACTTCTGGGCATACACACCGAGGAAACCAGATCTGAAAGAGACACGTGTACCCCAATGTTCATCGCAGCACTGTTTATAATAGCCAGGACATGGAAACAACCTAGATGCCCATCAGCAGACGAATGGATGAGGAAGCTGTGGTACATATACACCATGGAATATTACTCAGCCATTAAAAAGAATTCATTTGAATCAGTTCTAATGAGATGGATGAAACTGGAGCCCATTGTGCAGAGCGAAGTGAGCCAGAAAGATAAAGACCATTACAGTATACTAACACATATATATGGAATTTAGAAAGATGGTAACAATAACCCTATGTGCAAAACAGAAAAAGAGACTCCTATGTATAGAACAGACTTGTGGACTCTGGGAGAAGGAGGGGGTGGGATGTTTCAAGAGAACAGCATTGAAACATGTATATTATCTAGGGTGAAACAGTTCACCAGCCCAGGTTGGGTGCATGAGACAAGTGCTCGGGCCTGGTGCACTGGGAAGACCCAGAGGGATTGGGTGGAGAGGGAGGTGGGAGGGGGGACCGGGATGGGGAATACATGTAAAAAAAAAAAAAAGATACACTATGGTTGTGATAAAAATAAATAAATAAATAAATAAATAATTAAAAAAAAAAAGAATACAGTTAAAAAAAAATAAATAAAAAAAAAATAAAAATTCTAAAACGAAAAAAAAAAATAAAAATAAATGTATCTCTACCTACAACACTTTCATCTATGTTATATCAATGAAAATGTTTTCTTATGTTCTTTGTTAATATAAAATTGCTCTAAAAAAAAATGTATTATGGTGTTATCAAGAGTAGTGTAGGTTGGACATTTCAAGTGTATGTAACTTTCTCATGCCTTATCTTATTTTCTGAGGATGGGTTGTGAGAAGTGGGATTACTGTTTCAAAGTGTATAAACATTTTTAGGACTTGATATATATTGCCAAATTTCTTCTCACATCTCTTGCATTAATTCTTCTGCGTCCAGCAGTTTCTGAGAGGATCAGTTTCACTGCATTTTTGCCAGCAGTAGATATTTGGATTTTTAAACATTTTTCTAATTCAATCAGGAAAAACTAGCTATCTTTTTTTTTTTTTTTTTTTTACTTTGGATTTCTTTGTTTAGTAGGGAGGTTGAATGCTTTTATGTATGGTTGTTTTTTAGCTATATTTTCTCCTCTGTTTTACCCATTGTCTTTTCTTCTCTTTAGACCCCAAAACAGCTTCTGAAACCGAAATGGATATCTGCGCTGAGTGGGAGATAAAGACCATCACTAGTGCTTTGAAGACCTACCTAAGGTAGGGACTTTCCATTTGCAGGGCATGGTGCCAGCTTGTTATCATGCAATCAAGAAGAAAGCAGTTTTATTTTCAGCTTCCAGAGGACTGTTGGGTGGGAGTTTGAGATGTGGAAACAGCTTATGTGTGGGTGCAATTAGCTCAGCTGGTCAAACCAATTATAAATCATACAGAATTGATAGATTGCCATTGTGTAATGGTGCCGTGAGTGATTTAGGAAGCTTTGCTCTTTTCGAGAAGCTACTCTGATGATCAGCCTTTAACAGAACCACAAATATGGTATTTCCTGTAATGCTTGGGTAATCAGCTAAGAAAACAAGGAATCACGTACCCCATTGTGTTGAGAATGCGTGATTACATACCCTATGTATTCTGAGAGTTCTGCACCTTGCACAGATAGTGTGTTGCTAATGTTGCTCCTTAAAAATGAGAAGTTTAATGGCACTCCTTTTTAACTCCTTCTGCTTAGATTATAAAATATGACTTCATTGGAGAGAAGACTGCTTCTCTTATAATAGTACATGTGTTACTCCTGCTGCCTCCTACCCTTCCCTTGGTTATTAAGGGAGTGGGTGATTGATTAGCTGCTCACATCCCAGTTTCCAAGTGGACTGAAAGTCATGCTAGATGTGAAGCATAGGGATGCTATAGTTCTACACTGTGGAAAGTGGGGGTCTAGTCATAAACAAAGAGGAGAACTATAATCGTGAATTACATAAGCATTTGTACAAGTTTGTTAAGATTTACTTGGCTTGAAAGCCACAGCAAAGGAATTGGTGATGCCGGTTTTATTGGCTGTTGGGGAATTGCTGGAAGGCTCTTGGTATCAAGAGTAAGATGTCATGTAAGTGATGACTAAGAGTTGAATCAGGGGATCCAATGAGAATAAAATGAAATCTGAACCAAGGACCATAGATAATCTGTTGAGAAGCTTATTATTTGGACTGTCAGTAAAGAATACTCAAGTTTATAGTTAAACATATTCATACACCAAATAATTAACATAATAGATTACATAAAGCCTAGATGCTAGAGGTTTGTATTTAGTGCAGCTTGATATTGATTAGCTAATAGAAAGTATGTATAAAATATATACATTTTTTATGATAGCAGGTAAAATTTGATTGTGTCATGCCTAATATTAAGGTTCTAACCCTTTGGCATACTGGAGCAATACTTCATAGTGAATTTGCTATAAAAACACCTACAAAAGTCTCTCATAGTGTTTCCAGATGAAGTGATTAATAACAATCTGCCAGGAAGACAAGAGTTTAAGAGCTGATGATTGCAAATGTTGGGTTAGTTGCCTGTTTTTCAGGCACATCTTAAAATGCTCTTGTTGTGGGTGAGTCATTGACTGAAAAGGAAATCTCTGAGTTTGTGCTAGACTTCTACATTAGCACTTTTCTGGTTTGTGACTATGAAATGTGAGTTTTGTCTGTTCCCTTAAAAAAGGAGAAAGAATGAACATTTCAGGTGAAATCTCAGGACCCTTTCAAAGGGGAAACTAAGTTGGACTAAACTGAGTTGCTCTTGTTTACCCATATTCTTTGTCTTTGAGAAATGTAACACAGTCCACCATCTGGAGGCTGCTGGGTAGTGAGAACAGGATTGCTTTTGTTAAACTGACTAGTGTATATCCTTTTATTCCAGAATGCTTCCAGGGCCACTCATGATGTACCAGTTTCAAAGAAGTTTCATTAAAGCAGCAAGTAAGTTTTCTATTTGCTACAGTTTTAAGGGAAAGGGAATAGATTTCTCTATTTCAAAGAAAAGTGAAAGTGAAATCGCTCAGTCGTGTCCGACTCTTGGCGACCCCATGGACTGCAGTACGCCAGGCTCCTTTGTCCGTCCATGGGATTTTCCAGGCAAGAGTACTGGAGTGGGTTGCCATTTCCTTCTCCAGGGGATATTCCCGACCCAGGGATCGAACCCGGGTCTCCCTCATTGCAGGCAGACGCTTTTACCGTCTGAGCCATGAAAAGTATCCCCAAATAAGTATTAGCTAACCCCTTGTACTCTGTGTGTAAACTACCCACCTTCACACTCATAAGACTGTCACAGAATGAAAGCACAACCAAGTCGGGTTTAGCTCAGGACCCTGTTAGCGTACTGAATTTACAGTAGAGGGGAGAAGCTTCAGAAGTGAGTTGGGGGGTAGTGGTACAGGGAAGGGGAGAGATGAAAAAAGCAAATTTGACTTTCTAGTTTTGATTATTGGAGTTCTAACTCCTTGGGCCTTTGCCGGCCCTGGAGGTAACATTTTTTTGGAATGACTCAGACTCTGCTCATTACCTAAATTGAGCACGGGATGTTTCCCTGAATCTGACACCGTTTATATAACTTCTCAGTCCTCTTTTCCATCGTAGTTTATATAACTTCTCAGTCCTCTTTTCCATCATGGCTGGCATTTACAGCTTCTGGTCAGTCTTCAGCTATATCATGCAAGCCTGGGCGTCATATTACTGGTATTAAAATACATAGAGATTAGGGGCAAGCTACCCTAAGCATACTGGAATCTTTCTACGTGGGGCAGGCCTCCTGTAAGGGGAAGTAAGATTCTCTATCAAATTTAAATCTGGCACAAATCCCCACCGTGCTGTTATGTCCATAGTATGTGCTTTTTCCTGCTTCCTTTAAACCATCTGAGTTAGTTTACCCTGGTAGCTGCTACTGGCCTCATTAAGGAATACTTCATGTTCTGGTGGCCTTATCCATGCAGAGTGGTCCCCATAAAACAGGAGAAAGACCTGGGAGAAAGCTGAAAGTAAAGATGGTGTTTATGTGATTTCTTTCTCAGAGAAATTCCAAACCCATAGCAACCATTCTTTAATTAAAACTCACCTCAGAACTATAAATAGGTATGGTGAGTGCCATCAATCTGTTTCCCAGAGACATGAAGCCATGTACCCAAGTGCAACCATTAGAATGTGACTGATCATGATTTAGGTTACAGGTTGGCAGAAACATTTCCTTATTTTATTTGCCATTCCTTTCTTCTCCCTGGCTGGTTGTTTCATGTGGCTTGGAAATAACTGGACATTTCCTTTGATGTCTTTGATGCAGTCTTGAGATGTTATTTTGATGTTTGAGACCCTCGCAGTGTTGTTCACGTATAATTTGTTCATCACTTAATGAGTGCATAAAGTTCCTTCCTTCCTTCCTTGAAACAAAGCTGCCACTCTAAGGAGCCAACCACTCTCAAATTTATTCCCACTCCTGAGTGAGGAGGTGACTGTTTCCATTTCCTTACGTCATCATTTTGGCTTGATTTTTTGGACAGTCTTATTTTTTCATGAACTTTGTCATGGAAAGCATTATTAAAAGTACTTTTAGATCCAGTCAGTCTAGTCATGAGTACACAGGACAGGGTCTTATCTGTGAGAAATCTTCTCTGTGTTGTACTTCACCTTAATTTTCCTCCGATTTTTGTCTTGCAAACTAATTTAGCTATAACTCTGATCCAGTGTTACCTCCCTCCTTCCTTTGCAGAGCTGGAGAACCAGGAGTCTCGGGTCTCTGAAATCCACAGCCTTGTTCATCGGCTCCCAGAGAAAAATAGGCAGATGTTACAGCTGCTCATGAACCACTTGGCAAAGTAGGTTTAAAACTGATTGCTGGCCTTTCTTCAGCCCTGGAAAGTTCTTATCTTAGCACAAAAACTGATTTTGGTTCTGCTTATGTTTCCCTTTCTCACTGTTGGCATCAGGTATGCTGAAGACATAGGAAAGAAATGTGTGAAGTGTTAACTCCAGTGAGTAACAGCAGCACACACTGGGTGGGCTTTGCAGGGTAGGCTGAGGAGGCGCCCATATGGCCAGGCCATTGGGTAGAGTTTGCAGGACACTTTGTGCTCTTGTGATGATCAAAGTCAAGAAGTGTGTCCTCCATGTTACCAGATCACAAAGCAGATTTTTCAGGAGTTACATGTTCTTGTGATGATTGAGGGCAAACAGGAGTGATGATTAAGGGCAAACAGGAATATGTTACAAGTTTAGAGACCTTGGATTTGGAATAAAGAGGCCTGAATTCTAAAGTTGATTCTGTTCTTAACTAGCCCTGGACAAGCCACTGACCTCTCAATTCCTTAGTTTCTTCATCTGTCAAATATGGGTGGTAGTCTCCCCCTTCTCTTTAATGTCATTGAATTTAAAAGTTACGTGTATTAAAACCCTTGAAGTAGTATTAAAAATAGAGGAATTGGCAAATGCCCATTTGCCTTCCGAGGAAATCAGTGGGGACTTGATTTTCCTGCTAGGGATACTTATAGTCTTGGAACCTTTTGAAATCCTTGTGTGTTTACTGTTGCTTGACCTGTTTTGGATTGGCCTTGCTGATACCCCTTATTGTGTCAGCCACTGCATATGTGTGTGTTCCAACCTTCTTTTAACTTTGATGGACGTTCTTGATTGGAGACTACAGTCTAAAAAAAGACAGACCTGAATTGATAAATCTACATTCTGTGGAACTGATACATTGTAAATCCAGCCCTTATGCAGGCATTGTTCTGCCATTAAGTCATGTCTTTTGGGTAAATACTTTGCTGAGGGAGATTATGATGGCTTGTTTTGATATTTCTACTAGTGAAAATTGAAAATGAAAATCACCCAGTCGTGTCCGACTCTTTGCAACCCCATGGACTGTATAGTCCATGGAATTCTCCAGGCCAGATACTAGAGTGGGTAGCCTATCCCTTCTCCAGCTGATCTTCCTGACCCAGGAATCGACCTGGGGTCTCCTGCATTGCAGGCGGATTCTTTACCAGCTGAGCTACCAGGAAGCCCTATATTTCTACTGAGCACTTGATATTTTGGAGAGAGTATAGATGTTACCATAAAATTTATTCATATGTTAATGATGAATAAACAAGAGTGGTTTGTATGCTGCTGAGAAGCAATCAGGCAGAGTCAAGGGTTGCTGTATTCTATTTTGAGTCACATTTTTTTTCTTGCCCTACCACATCAAACTTGTATGTTCAAAAACATTTAAGCATAACTGAGAACAGGGGAATGCCCCCCGCCCACCCCCGGCTCCAATGTCAAAGAATCCTGATGAAATGTGTTGAAAATAATGAGAACTGGGCTTTAAAAAGTAGTTCCAGATTCTCTGAGATGATGGTGTGGTGCCTGTTCCAATAACCCAGTCAGGCATTTGCGAAATGGAAAAGCTAGTTTAGACGTTAGTTATACACTTGAATGGCCTGCACCAGAACAGAGAAAGTTCTAGGTACACCCTCTGGCTAGATATGTGTGGTGATGCTCGTTTGTGAGTGCTTTATGGCCACTGGGTGTTAGAAGGCCTCCATAGCTGCTGGGAGCAGCTGGAGAAAGGATAGGAAGCAGCTGAAAGAAGTTAGGCATTTCACTCTGTATAATGGGCTCCAGTTTGCAGAGCGAAGTAAGCCTGAAAGATAAAGACCATTACAGTATACTAACACATATATATGGAATTTAGAAAGATGGTAACGACAACCCTATGTGCAAAACAGAAAAAGAGACTCCTATGTATAGAACAGACTTGTGGACTCTGGGAGAAGGCGAGGGTGGGATGTTTCAAGAGAACAGCATTGAAACACGTATATTATCTAAGGTGAAACAGTTCACCAGCCCAGGTTGGGTGCATGAGACAAGTGCTCGGGCCTGGTGCACTGGGAAGACCCAGAGGGATCGGGTGGAGAGGGAGGTGGGAGGGGGGACCGGGTTGGGGAATACATGTAAAAAAAAAAAAAAAAGATACACTATGGTTGTGATAAAAAAAAATAAATAAATAAATTAAAAAAAAAAAAAAAGAAGTTAGGCATTTCAAGCTGTGCAGTTGTGATGAGAGTTTAATTGGACTGAGAGAGACCCAGAGTCAGTGGTGATCCAGTGGAACCAGAACTGAATCGTCCCATTTTTAAAATGCCCTGAGGGTTGTTAAAGATCCTCAAAGAAAAATAAATAGAAATTTAAAAAATCCAAAACCCTCAAGATGGATATTGAATCATTGAGGTTATTCATCTCTGGTGGATGCTTCACTTTGTCCCTCTGGTTCCACCCTCTTCTCTTCCCACCCCACGAAGTTTGGTCTTTATCCCTAAACCAAGGAGAAGTACAGCTGGAATATGTATGTTAAAGCTGTGACCTTGACTTTCTGCCTTCTAACAAATTTAAACCAGTTTTGTTGCTGGAGTTATTTATTTTGTGGCATTTCTGGAGCATTGTGTATTATCTTTGATACTTAACAATGATTTTTTCTGGTCCTGTGAGGTTCTGTGGCAGTTCTTTGCTCATATAATCATTAAGAAATCTACATATAGTCCTGCCCTCATGGTTGTAAGTGGGAGTTGGTTAGAGCTGGTGGTAGGACACACAGACTCCTGTTCTCAGTGTGCTGTGTTCTTGGTCTCTGGCGGTTCTAGATTTAAAATCTCTTGTGGAAATGAGTAAATGGTGCTAGTAGTAAAGAACCCACCTGCCAATGTAGGAGACATAAGAGGCGTGGGTTCGATCCCTGGGCTGGGAAGATACCCTGGAGAAGGGCATGGCAGCCCACTCCAGTGTTCTTACCTGGAGATTCCCATGGACCGAGGAGCGTAGTGGGCTATAGTCCATAGGTCGCAAAATGTTGGATACAACTGAAGCGACTTAGCCTGCATGCATGCTGAATCCAGTAAGGAGTATTCATTTAGGTTTGAAAAAATCTTTAGGTACCCAGAGGAGGTCTAAGATTCTACATAAACTCTCTATTCTCATTTACAACGCTGTCCTCTCTTAAAATCTAACAAGAAGGGAAAGTTAACTTGGAACAAGAGGTTTGTCTGTTTCATTCCTGTTTTCTCAGGTTCAAACTTATCCGAGGATATGCCTGAGCTATTATTCCTCTGGTCCACTTACTTCACAGTCAGCTTCCTTTCTAAGTTTTAGTTTCGGGGTTGGTTCTCTGCTGGAAAACCTGGTGTTTACTTCTCTTATTACCTACTCTGTTTGCCCTGTGTGTCCCAGGCGTCTGGTTCAAAGGGAAGATATTTTGTGTACTTTTTAAAGCACTCTTGAAACACTTTTAAAAATTGATTTCTTTTAGCTGTGGAGGAAGAGTTAAGATATTTTATATTTAATCCCAACTAGAAATGCATTCAGGGGGGAAAAAAAGTCTTGGAAGGAAAAAAAGAAACTCCAAACCTCCATGCAAATGATTACCAGGGTTCATCCAAATCACAGACCTCTTGGGTCAGTTTCAGACCTCAGAGGGAACCTAAAAATTATAGGCAGCTCTGCACATATTTTTGTTGTTCCAGCTTAAATCTAATGTAAAAATTAGATGTTTTCTATTTGGAACCTGGAATAAAGCTTCAAAGCACATTTACACTCACCTGGGGAGCTTGTTTACATGGACAGTGCTGGGCCCCACCCTTAGTCTTTTAAATTGGACTCTGCCTGGGAATCTGCATTTATGATTTACTTCCTGGGTAAACCAGATGCAATCTTTTGAGAATCACTGGGCTCAAGAATGGCCATATGAATGGGTTTTCTAGGAGGGATAAATGATTTTGGGAGGAATGGATTGGAATTTAGGAGGATATTAGAAATAAGGACGAAGAAGCTCAAAGCAACAAGTTCAAAAAGTATATTTTACTTGCATAATGTAATTAATAAAAAAAATTCAGTTTTGATTTCCTGTGTCTCTCCAATTCTCCTTTCACTAAATTGAGTGTTCAGCAAATAACTTTGTTCTAAAATTGCACACAAAGAACTTTTAATAATAAAGAAAATTGCCCCCGACTGGCTTTGGGACCTTATGGAAATCTTTTAACCTCTTTAAGCCTGGTTTCCTGACTTCCCCTTCCAATCATGTGAGTCTCTGTTTTCATCAGGTAGGAAGGGGACAAAAAAAAGAAAAAGAAAAAAAAAAAAACCCCAGTCTTATAAATGTAGAAGGGAATAAGAGTAGATGAGTAATAAAGACTAATTTCATGGTCATTCCCTGATGTTTACATATTATTATGACTCCAAGTATATTGTATATCCCCACACATACCATTCACAGTGGCTCACTGGAACTTTATTACAGTGTTTATGCTGCATGGGAGGATTCCAAAGTGCTCTCCTTACATCCGGAGTGGCTATTAACAATACCTTTTCACAGCTGGTTTTCCCAAAACATTTATTGAGAGATAAATCTTGGTCTCTTTTCTTTTTTTGAGCAACTATTCCTTCATTCCTAGGGTGTTGTCAGGGAGCCCTTTTCTTGCTTCTCCAAAGAAGTACTATATCATTTGAGATGCTTTGGGCTGCGAGAAACAGAAAATCCAGTTTACAGTGGCTTATACATTACAAGGGAATATATTGTCTCATTACACAAAATAAGTCCAGAGGGTTGGTTAATTTCTTGGCTCATGAAGTGCTTGCGTTATTTCCATGGCCCTGCTCACAGCCAACTTCATTGTGTTGGCTAGCCCCTCTCAAGATCATACGATGTTACGTTGCCTTTCTGCTTATGAGTATGAGTGGTTGTCCAGAGGTAGAAAGGCATTGCAGTTGACCCCTGAACAACATGGGTTTGAACTGTGTGGGTTCATTTATATATGGATTTTTTCCATTAAATATGCACCATTTATAC